TATCGTTCTTTAATAGATGGCGATGCGTGACGTACTATCCACCGCTGATCTTCCGATGACCCTACTTTTTTCCTCCTACCTATTTTGGCATTGAATCTACCGAATTTCAACGACACTATCTATCGATTTGTCTTTTTCTATTCGGAAAATACTAGGTTAAAGTGCGATACTTAATCTTACAAGTACATAAGTGACCATATTTTGGATTTCTACGGATTGATAGTCTCCATGTCCTGTTAGTCTACAATTAGCATCTAAAATGAGCTTAACCGGATTTCCTTGAATTTTATTGTTCGATACCGACGATAACATCCTGTCGCAATACACCTTAGATAGTTGACCCACATAGAAAGAATAACAAAGCTACGTGCTTGCTTGAAACACTTATTCCCGACGCTAGTCCAGGAATGCCTAGCACCCTGTGTATTTGTTGAAGATTCTCATAGTGAGCACAGGAATATTCCCGATGTCCTCCTCACATCACCAAGTCACGTCTTCGTACAACAAAAAGGCGCTACGTGTCGCTGGATATTGAATTCCTGGCTGACTGGTTGCCATTTCAGCTTTCGCGCTCGCAAGCGCCGCCGCCTTTGATTGAACGGCGCCATCGCATCGTTTATTTTTTGGCGGAAACGAAGGAGATGCATGCCCCAGTATCTATTAGATTTTTATGCAAATTTATATAGCTCGTGGGGAGAGAAACGGATGATGATGCTAGGACACTTAGGCTAAACCTGTCATCAGAGAAAGTGAATCACGGGTTTTTACTTCTCACTTGACGAGACGGCATGATAATCACGGAAAAAATTGTAGATTTTCATATACCTATTATTACTTCCCACGCTAGTATTGTAATCGCGAAAACGTCATCCTTGGCCCGTCTATTGGTTGGAAAGCACCCCTTCGGATTTTGATAAAATTTTCACACAAAGTTACTACTATGCCAAGGTCTGAAAAACTTTGTGTCTGCTTAGAATCGGTCCAATGGCGGCGGAACTAGGAGCAAAAGACTTAGTTTTTTGACAATTGGTAAATGGTTGTAGCAGACGGGAGAGGGTATATCACAATTTTTAGCAGTATTATATTCATAGACTTGCAGCACTGGTAATTCTGGACATCTATTAGATATAGTTCACACATATACAGCACTGTCAAAACTAAGACAATAAGAAAGAAATCTAAAATTTTTGATTTTTGACAGGCTGTATTTCGGTCAAAAATAGTATTCTGAAGCTTCAAGATTCGACTTTTCAGGTTTTTAGCAGAAACATTTTTTTTACAACGATTCTAACAGATAGGCCAAGAAAAATTGTCTGCAAAACGTTTGCCTCGTTCTTTTTCATCCACAGGTCTCAAAACCCTTTTTCTGTTAGGTCATTATATGCATGAGATATTCAGCTTCAGTATTCTGTTTTTCAAATCTCGGTCCGGTCTGTTTGCGTGGAGATAACTGACTTTCAATGAAGAAAAGTCCTCCCATAAGATTTTAATGCAATCTCTAAAGCATTTTGTTTTGTTTCCTACCTGTTTTTGGAAAAGTCAAAACAAGTTACGAGTAATTTTTTGGCCTTCTTTTGGAAAATCGACCGCATTTCTGGAACTGTTAATGTTGCTAATATTTTTTAATACTTCAATATATTCCTAATAACCCTGTACGATGGCAGATCGATCCATTTACGGTTTCTCCGGATAAATTGGTCAAAATCTGAAAGCAAGTTTTTTTTATCAAAGTATCCTACAATCTGATTGAAAATGGAAAAATCATTTTTCTTCTTTTATTGACACTATTGGTTATCTGTAACATAGACGAAGGCAAACATATTGCACGAGGAAAGTTGCTTCAGATTTTTGGCTAAAAAACCGGAAAACTATAATCTTAAAGTTTCCGAGTGCTTTCTTTAATGTTTAGGCACGACCATATTTCGCCAAAATACAGCTTGGTCCCTTTATTTTTTTGAGTATTATATTCCCTCTATATTTGCCCTTAAGGCTTGCGAGTAGAATTATTTTAGGCACCCGCACCGAGAAAAGGGATATGAATGTTTTAGGGTACGAATGTGTTTCGGTGATATCAGGCTTACTCGTCGCCATTCCGATAGCGACGTTGCCGTTGCTTGTCAAATTGGTGGGGACGAATTCGGTTCTTTCCAACAATTAATTTCCGATATTCTCAAACGGTCAGTTCCAGTAGACTAGATCAGTCCAGCGCGAATCCAGGCAACTACATATTACCTTGTTTGGATGATTCTGTTGGACAGTCTCTGATTGCCAGGAAATTATTATTGGAAATAACCAACTAATTCATGCTAGGTAGAAGGATACGATTTGTTTGTCACGAAAAGTATGTAGTCAGTAGTCAGTTGATACTACAAGTCGATGAGGCTTAAGCATTAAATTCATACTTTTCTGGATACAAACTGAATTTTATGATGGACACTGAAAAGGTCCAACTTGACTAAACTGAAATTTAATTTCATCTACAATGTTGAATCTAAAAGATCTTATAAGTTATAATTTTACAATCTCATTAGTGTCTTGAGATTCTATGCAGGAAGCTCAGTACGCTAAAAACTACTAAAATCAAATTATTTTAAATACTTCACAAGCCTTTTCTCAGATAAATATAGTGACAATGTCGTAACAGCAGGAACTTATTCATATTATGGTCAAGTAGGTAGTTCCTTTTATCCAATAATCTGCTCGAATCACGTCAAGTATTTAGGAAACCGGGTAAAATCTATGCAAAGTGTGCCACTATTTCCAATATCAGGTATTCCGCCATTGTTGCTGTTTGATGGAGATAATATTTCGTAATCTTCTCCTTTCATAATCACGGATTAAGCAGAACTGCTCATATGCTGCACCGTTAATAAATACTTACCTTCGTTTATTTACCTAATTTAACTTATCCCTGCTTATTAACAATAACAAGGAATACAAGAAGCGTTTCAGCCTTGCTCTACGTGAGTATACCTAGCACGAATAGGTTCTTGAACATCCTATACAGAGAAAAGGATGTACGCCACCATATTGGTCTATCACTCTTAAAGGCAATGGTGGTCAAATTAGCCAATAGTATGAACTAAACTAATTTTGGCGACACACAACGCAATGTTTACATATGGGCTTGGCTCCTTCTAATCTGATTATATAAGTCTATTTGGCTGACATGATTGGGCACAGCTAATAGATATACTTCATTGGCAGCATATTCAGTAATAATTTTCTCACAGCAAATATCACTGATTTTATACCCATGCAGACCATACACATAATCATCCAGATGCGGTCTTGCTATTCAACCAACTTTCTTTCTTTCACACAAGATATAACTGCTTCTTGCAACCAACAATGCATCTAGATGAGTCGGTCCTTCGAAGATAGGTGCTCACAGCGATCATAGCGAGCAAACCTGGAATGAACTATTTGCACCCTAAAGACTACCCAGTCTGCAAGATGACACTCGTTTTTTTTTTTGACGTTTTATGTTTTTTACGTGATAGCCCTGAGGATCACCCTACTTGACGCCATTTTATATCACTGCTTATCTGAGAAATTGCCATTAATCCTCTAAAGAGAAGTCACATACATCATGTGTGCCTTCAGGTAGTGCTTCAACTATTTCTGATTACCACTAATACAGAGCACACTTTGTGCCTGAAATGATTGCATGGGAAGTAAAAATTGTACAGGTATTGTCAGTCACTGAGCAACTTCGATAGTAGGACTTGGGTTCTCAATGTAGGGCAGTAGCCAAACTAACGTTATACTTTTCGACATTAAACACTGGCGCTATTGCACAGGTTCTGTTGACCCACTGGCAGATGGCTGCATATGTTGCAAAATGTCACTGTGAAGCTCGATCGTTGCCAAGTTCCCATTCCTTCCGCTAGTGGACAAGTCACAAGTTAATCAATATTCTAGGCACCTGCTAGACTTTCTGTAGCGCCATCTGGGGAGTAACTCTCAAAATTGTGGAGTTGCCGCTAACAATCGATAGCAGCACTGCGGGATACCGGCCTTGTTTGGAATGGTTGGGGAGTTGCACAGTAGATGGCGCTGCCGCTTGTAAAGACACGGGGGCATAGATATTTCTAAAGAAAGTTTTATGTTAACAGTTTCATCTCTGAATACTTGATGGTCTACACACCAGTTCCGTAAATGCTCAACGAGACATCAAAATAACTACAAATATCGGTAATGCATCACAACGCAAGGGTCTCTTAAGGTTTTGTTATTTCAAGGTATGCAACAGTAGCAAAAAGGGAAATTAAGATGTCCTGCTATTACAGAGAATATACACAAAATATGATATCGATGTGTATTGCTCATTTTGAGGGAAATCTAAGAGGTAAGCTTGCTAGTAATGTAGTTCTCGTTCATTCGACCACAGACGGACAACCATGAATAGATCTGTTACCTATTATCAGAACGGCACGGGTACTACGTATCTTGAAAAGTGACATTACGTCCATTTTTTTAACATTGTATAGGTTTTTGTGTCATTGCGTATGTTTTTTACAAGATGTTAACTTAGCACTAGCTGATGGACACTTGTGAACTGGTTTGTAGTTGTACGTGTTGTCATGAGGCTCCAGTTATCACTGTTAGGCTCTGATGTGATGTAAAATTTGCTTCAGAGATGGTATTACTGGAGGTCTAAGCTGTAAGTTGTAGACTATAGCTAGAAGGAAACGGCAGTGCATAGGTGCATAGTGAGGATTTGTGTGCTAATAATATGTGTTGATGATAATTCCATTGACTTGACATTAAAATCTAGAAATTAGTTGCGCATCTACTGTTTCTTAGCCATTCTGGAAATTACATATCAGGAATGTCTTTTAAGTTTTGCATATAGAAACATAGTAGGTCGCGCGAATCAAACGTCAGTACTGAATCTTAACCTCACTCTTTAGTAAACTTAAATTCAAAGTTTCACAACAATAGGTGCAGCACTCTCACTGCAGTGAATTTTTAAGTGTCACCAAGTCATTAGAAAAATGGAACTCAACCGAGAATATTTTCGCGCCATAATTTATTACAACCTTCAGAGACAATGTTATCGCAACACGAAAGCCTTGCTGAGTTACTGTCTGTTTTCGGCAACGAAGCACCACATCAGTCGACAATTTCCCGTTGGTATGGAGAATTCGAACGTGAGCGGGTGAGTTTTAGCGACGATCCCAGGGTGGGTGCACAAAAAACGGCAGTCACCCAGGAAAACGTCGATGCTGTGCGCAAACTCATCATTGAAGATAGACATGTGACATATCGCGAGATTGAGGCGCCATGGCGATCCCAAAGACCTCAATTCAAAAAATTTTGCATGAAGAATTAGGAGTAAGAAATCAGTTTCTCGTTGGATACCCCACCTGTTGACTGAAGAGCAGAAAGCAGCCAGGGTTAATTGGTGTCAAAAAAAGCTTGACCTTTTCAATTCCGCAATTCAAAAAATGTGTACAGCATTGTTAGTGGTGATGAATCGTGGATTTACTGTTATGAACCAGAAAATAAACGACAGTCAGCGGTTTGGGTGTTCCAAGGTGAAGAAAAGCCAACAAAAGTCATCCGTTCTCGAAGTGTTTCGAAAAAGATGGTCGCGACCTTTGTGTCAAAAGCTGGTCATATTGCAACAATTCCTCTTAATGAGCAAAGAACTGTTACTACGGATTGGTATACCACCATTTGTTTGCCAAAAGTCATCACCGAGCTTCGAAAAATCAACCCCGAAAGAAGAATCATTCTCCACCAAGACAATGCAAGCTCGCACACAGCCCAAAAAGCAAGGCAATATTTAACGGAAGAAAACGTGGAATTATTAGACCATCATCCATATAGTCCCGATCTAAATCATAACGATTTCTTTACTTTCCCAAAAATTAAAAACAGACTGCGTGGTCAAAGGTTCCAGTCATCAGAAGAAGCAGTTGACGCATTCAAAAATGCCGTTTTGGATCTGCCAGCGAACGAGTGGAATAAGTGCTTCGAAAATTGGTTCGAGCGCATGCAAGATGTGTATTAATCTTCGTGGAGAATACTTCGAAAAACAATAAAGTCATTTAAAACTACCCACCGTGTTGTTTTATTTCCATATGCAAAACATAGAAGACATCCCTCGTATTATGCATATTCGCTGAATTTCAAAGATGCGAGAGATAAGAGATAATTATATACACTGTATAATGTCGAATTACAAGTCATATACATGCTAAAATAATTATATACAACACGAATGAGGTGGTGATTTCCCGTGATTCTCGTCCAAGTTTTTGAAAATACACAAAAAACGTAAAAAATTTGAACATAACTTCTCTTCAGACAGGACAACATATAAATAATCCGTCGGACACAGCTAATATATATATATATATATATATATATATATATACTTGGAAGCATATTCAGTAATGATTTTCTCACACAGCAAATTATTTTATACACATGCAGACCAACACCCATAATCATCCAGATGCGATCTTGCTATTCAACCAACTTTCTTCTTGGAGATGAAAACTGCAGACTACTCGGCTTCACAAAACATATGCAACCAACAATGCTAGTAATTGAGTCATTCCGCCATAGATGTATGCTCACAATGATCCTAGTGAGCATATGCGGAATGCACTCTAAAAACTACCTAGTCTGTAAGGTTACACTTTATATATTTTTTTTTGACGTTTTATAGGTTTTTTACATAATATCCGTGCCGATCACTGAGAAAGTGAAAATACAAAGCTGACAGTTGGAACATTATTCCAGTTCGCATTGCTAGCCGGGTCACCATTGTTGCAGCTAGATGCCACCGATTCTGGACCTATAGTAGATATAGTCTACTCGGCATTGAACAAACTATTATTTCAATACATCACACATTTTGGATAGTGTATAATTGCTATAATTTCGTTCGTTGTCCACTGAGACCAAGCAGGGTAGCTATGAGGGTGCTCTGGAAACCGATACTGTCATTTGTCATTTCAGGTGAATTACTTAGTACAAAAAAATTACAACTCACTGACGGCCTTTTCGTTAGCATCAATCTTTCATGTACAGAATACTCCAATAATTAACAACACTTGATTGGAATATGGAGTTATGCAATGATTTTATGAGTAAAATGTAGCGTAGAAAATGCATTTTGTGTGTTCAGTAATATTTTTAATGAATATGTACTAAAAAGCACAGCCCAAAAGCTGTATTTTACGTAGTCTTTTATAACGTAGCAGCCGCGTAGGCCGAAGCCTAAAAACCGGAGCACCGTGCGAAAGGGTCTCGGGACTGTCCTAGTCGCCATTGACCAAACTAGTAATATAGCTCTTCGTCCGACCACAGACGGCCAACAATGCACAGCTGTTTCGTACCACCTGACAACCCTTCAGCATGGTGTAGGCTTGGTCACGATGGAGATTGAACGAATGCTGAGCAACTCTACTCTATTCAGGGTGTACAGTCTATCGCCTAGGCCTACACCATGCTGAAGCTATTTTACTAGTCTGTGCGATAACCGTATCTATATACTACCGCGCCAGAATCGGCGCCACATTGATGGCTCAGCTGCCAGTGCGAACCAGCACACAGTTCCAACAGAAAGCTTGCTTTTTTACGTTCGTGGTGATCTATTCTGGTAGTAGATGGGACTTTATGCTATCTTATTTCAGCGGTCAGTAGATTAAACCATAAACATGTCAAGCTGACTGGAGTTATAGGTTAGTAGATGGAGTATCACTTAATAACAATGGGATAAATTTTCTGTCCGTCACCTACAATAACTAATTATACATTTTTTGCTGATGGTACATCAAAAGTAACCGTGATATTAAGTTCCGAGAAACTATAAATGGGCTAGCCCGACCATGCCTTCCTTTCTTCCCCGTCCTCCATGAAAAGATATGATGTTTTGTGTTATCATGTCAGTCAGTATCGAGATCATGTGCCACAGGGTGTGTGGGTTAACCTAGTTTTTAATCAAGTCCATTTGAAAGACCGAAATTCCTAATACAATAACGTAATTGATTTTATGTTAGTATACTGTAAACCTGTTCAAGATCGTATTGGTGCTCCGCGAGTGTACCCAGAACGTCGTCCTTGATATTTCCATCAGTGCTGCGTAGGATTGTTTGTATCATACAAAAGCCATCTGGGTGGACACAGCAGAAGATATAGGCAGCCCCAAATGTATTTCGTATTTCTAACAACGACAATTTCAAGCACTATTAGCATTACCGAATAAAGGGTTAGTATTTATCTACAATTCCTTTTTCACGTTTTCGCTGCTGTTTTACCACAAATTAACTTTGTTATTTCGAACGCAGTTGTTTCTCTAAAGAAACGTTCCAACTTTCAGGACACCCTGTATAAAATGTATTTTCATTGTAATTAACTTGTACTATGAGAGAGGTACCGTTGTGGCCGCTACATCAGTAAACAGTATTTTCTATATACGCGGTTTGATAGCCAGAAAATCATGGCGTTCTATCAATAAGAAAAACCACTTGATAAGTGTCGGGTGTTACTCTTCTTAGTAGCTCCAGAATGACAAAAGGGAATTCTCCTCTTTGTAGTGCATCACTTAACGCATCCATAGCTACGACAGTTCTGATGCAAATACGCAATCGGAAGGCGCAATAGCGGAAACAGGCCGACCGAGATACAGCAAGGTCGACACAAGCGTTTGACGTACGGTTTAATTTTGCACTACAAAGGAGTAATGTGAGAATGTCAGTAACAACCACCGGGTTTAAGGAAGGGCTTTGACTGGCTTTCTGTAATTAATTCGGAGCAGACCCACTCTCAGATCGACACGAGCGAGAATACGACTGTAGGCTAGTGGGGGTGAGATGTGAATTGCTCTGATTCTTGAATGATCTTGTGCTAAACAACCTAGAATATCTAAGAGATAGTCCAGATAAGCACTGGTTTTGATATTTTGATGAGTGAGAGCTCACAATCTCATGTGAACATTGCTTACTGCTTTCCAGGTTGAAGTTGGGGCTATACGGGAAACATTAGAGGAAAAGGTCCGAATATGGGATCTGCATTTAATATGGGCCCCGTAGATATCTCAGCCGCCCAAGTAGCGACATCTATGAATTTTGCGGGGCTCCTACAATCACGAGGACCATCTGCTTTGGCAACGGGGGGGGGGATGAAACGGGAACGAGGGTGGGTTGGGCCTAGACGGTCGTCGGTGCTACTTTAAAAAAGGAAAGGATGACTGCGGGTGCATACCAAGCTTTTATAATAACAGAGTCGGATTTCGATTAGCGATCTAGAAGTAAATCGTTTCTTAATTTAGTACTAAGCAAGTGATCATTTAGTATTTTGCTCCACTTGTTACTGTTCATCGATATTGTGTTGTTGAATTGTTCTTGAATGCCCTTTTTTATCAAGGCTGATAATGGACAATAAAGGGTCATATGCGACCATTTTAACTACGAATGCAGTGAGTTTAATTCATGATAAGGTCAACAATAGTGTGGAGCAAAATACATTGGGGTAAGCGAATAAACGAACTGTAATTTGAGTTCTTGAATTTATTTTAGGATAGATATCAAATTATTTGAATACATCTTTTCTTAGTCGGAACGCACCGTCGCGTCGCTTGGACTGGCAGGACGAAACAGTAGACGAATTTCGCCCAAAAACCGATTTGCACTTCACAGCTTGCGTTTCATTTTTTATTATTTCCAAATGAAACTCTTATAGCGTGCTAAAGCAAAGTCCACAGGGTGCTAACGATCCACTTTTCCGATTTTATCCACTAGGATCTTTTTGAAATGTCAAGAATTCGATAGTAAGCATTTCAACCCACCATAATTGTTGCGCTAAGACAAATTTTTGTAAAACGCTCTGATGGCACCTTAGACAATTATGTCCTGCTTATATCCAGAAAAGTATCACAAACTGCAGAACACAAATTGAACGTAAGCGCGAAATGGGTACATTTCACGGCTCATGAAATTCAAATGCAAATGCAGGTATAAAATCTACCAAATTATTGTTCTCAAAAACATATTTCCTTGACATATCGATAATTTTAAAATTCCACGCTAAATTCCCCTATACTTGACTGGAGTGATATCCGAATTCATTCTTCTCTACTGTCGGCAGTTGCAGGTAGATCTGTTGCCTCTTGGTGTCAAATCTATAGAGCACCTACCGATTTTTTCAAATCGTAAGCACATTATTCGTCGGATTTTCGTTACTTAAATTTCCTGTAATCACTGGGAGCAGAAGCTTCTTAACAATAGAACGTGTTTCACTGATATCAAAGATGCAACATTCAGAATCACCTTCCAAAACCGCCACTTTTTAAGCAGTACATTTTTTTCTGTCAATGATAAAGAACCCCTGTAAGGTCAAAAACGGAGTTTCAGCAATTCAGTATTTCCAGGCGAAAGAGAAGCCCTTGCTGACAAAGATTCAAAATGAAAACAGACTAGCCAAAGAATACAAATCATGGTCTCCGAACCAATGAAACTCCATTATTTAGAGTGATGAAGCCAGATTTGAAGTATGCTATCACCATAGAAGGAGTCGTGTCATAAGAACTAAAGAAGTGTTCCAGAATGATTGAAAGTCAAGTTTCCGGCTACTGTTACGATTTGGAGATCAACTTACACTTTGTGCAAGATACGAGTATTACGAATGCTGATAAGGACATTACTGATGTGCTTCAAAATAACTTAGTACCCCAAATTGGACAAATACGTTTAAACAATATTGAATGTATCTTCCAACAAGATGGTGCCGCTTGCCAAACTGCTTCTTACACCAGATGACTGACATACATTAGTTGTCACTATATCAAGACGTATCGAAGCAGTAATCAGTAGAAAAGGCGATGTAATGCAGTGGTGATTTGCTGCTATTTGATTTCGTTGATGTTTAATTAATCGGTGTTTTTTTTTATTTTCATGATATTTTTTCTTAGTTACAACAAATGTAGTAATTTAGGCTAATATTAAATATAAATATCGTATGTTATCAGAAATACATTTTAGTTTTTAATATGTTTCCGGTAAT